ATTTGTACTTATTATTATAATCTATATAAAATATCTTATAATATGATGTGGCTAATGATCATTGTTGACCGCCAAATGGCTTTTTTTAACTCTTTTTTATTGGATCTCCAGAAAGGCTGCCTTCCCAAAAAATTCACTAGTTGTTTATTTTGTCAATACAAGTAAAATGTTTTTCGAATTATTCAAATCGGACGCTCCGTTCTCTCAAAAACTGAAATCCGATTTTTGCACTTTTTGCACTTTTTGCCCCGTATCTTTGAAACTGTTACCTTGTTTTTGCCAAAAACTAATCAGCACGTCTCTTTATTAATAGGAATCGATTGTTTTTTGAAATACTCTAATCGGTTGAATCGTGTTCACGCAATCGTCGACGATAAATTATGTCCGCACATACGTATACACACACACATTCATTTTCTCTAAAGTATGCCAAAATGTTCAGAAACCTCTGAAACGTAAAGATATATAAAATTTTCATTTTCGATTTTTCTGCGATTATGATACTTACCCTACGGAAATTTCTATTATTCAAATGAGACATCGTAACTTTATTATATAATTTATTTAAAAATGTATTACCGAGACGAAAAATTTTGATTTGAGGAAAACATTGACGATTAATTAATTTTTACATTTATTACATTATTTTTCATCTTCAGCGATTGAAATTAAATATAAAACGTTTATTGTAAAACAAAAAAAAATAAACCTTTATTTTACCATTCATTTTTATAAAGACCAAACGGATATTTAAAAATTGAAGTTCCACATTATTTATAGAGAATTCTCGAACATTTCTTTATTTTTTAATATGAATTTTATGCATTTAATTCTTCATCGCAAGTTGACAAATAACTTTTCTATCTATACGAATTTGCACATCATGAACAAATAAAGCTAATAAGTAAAATAAAAATAATAAATACTAAAGGATTATAACATAGATCTTGTTAATTTAAATTATAATAAAATATAATTTCAAAAATGTTTTATTTTTATTTTATACATTCATTTTCAATAATGTCAACACACGCTCTCACATGGATATATATAAAGTTTCATCTGTTGTATTATAGAAAAATTGCATTATATGTTATTCAAATAAAACAAGTACTATATGATGAATTGAAAATTCAATTATTTATCTTATATATTGATATATTTGATGAATGTATATATTGATGCTTTGACGCTATTCATAAAGTTCATGAAAAATCCCTCGACTAATTGATACTCAATTAAATGTTCCGATGCAATTATTTTCTATTGTGTGACAAACGTAATAATTTTACTTTGAAGATTTTAATTGTTTTGGAATAATTAGAGAAATATGTATGCTATTTGAAATCTATAACGTAAAATTAATGATTTTTTCTCTTGCATAATAATTTTACAGATATAATTATATTCAAGCCTATGGTAATAGATTCATCATCGTTAATATTACCTTCATTTGATCTGGCTTGTCGATTTTTGAGGGTTGTAATATCGTAAATTTAAATAGAGCGAACGACCTCTTTAAAGTTAAAATTTCAAAAATAGCTTGTAAAAATCAAGTTATTATTCAAATTATGTTTTCCAAAATAGAGTTACATCCAAATAAGTTACATTTAATTATTGTATTTTTAATTTGTGTTAGAAAGACCAAATCGAATAATCCAAATATAATTATGAAAATACGTAACGAAAATTCCAAACGTTACAAAACTTAATGTTAAATACTTGTCTTGTAATTTTCTATAGAAAAATAACAAATTGATTCCCAAACACGTGCCGTAAACAAGTATGTATTTACATTTTTTGTTCTATAAAAATTATAAGCAAGTTATTGCGCAAAAATCTATCACGCTATGAATTAGGCAAAAAATGGTTAGCATAAGTTTTATAAGTGTACTTACATTACATTGTACAATGATTCCATGTTTAAAATACAATGTGTATATTTTCGCAAATAACTATTTTATGTGATCGAATTTATCGTTTACAAATGAATTATGATATTTATAGTATGACGAAAATATAATTTGATTTGGAAGTAATAAGGGAGCGTCTTGGTTTCTGCATTGCTCTTAATAACGAATTTGTGAATTCTTCTGAAGTTCAAAAGATGGAAATGAGTTTTTGATAATAGGAATACAAGTTGCAAAACTTGCTAGAAATTTTTACGGGTGGGAGCATATTTTATTGTGAAAGTTTGCCATTGGAATCTTTAAAATTACGGCAATATTCGAAGCGCGCATGTTTTTAAATTTTCGAGTAACGTGGTGAATATATAATTTTTGTTCTCTTAATGTTCTCTATACACGTGTTTATATATATATATATATATATATATATATACATATACATATATAGCTGGTGCTGTCTTAGGGCACGTCCGTGAGCGAGTTAAACTCCAATTCGGTTCAAGGAAGAATATTGTAAGAGATTTCCCATTGCCAAAATTCACACCACAGTGCCCTGAATGAGCTTAATTTCAAGTAGAAAGATATTTTTGATCTATATTTTCAAGTAAAAATGAACATCGCTGCTGTCTGATGTCATGCTACCATTTTTACATATTGCGAATAAAATAACCGAATAAGTATAATCTCAATTTAGCTTGAACAAATCTTTATGTATTGCTGATTACTAAAATAAAACTCAGTTATAAATAAAAAAAACTTTATTAAACTGAGATTTTAGCAATTTATATAATATGTATTAATCTTGTATCTATTTTTGCGAGATAATTTCTTGATTTGAAATTTTTAATTTCACTTACTGTAAAAAAGTGTTTTAATAAAAGTCAGTGTTCTATTTTAACTGCTAAAATTAAATATGACCAACCATCGTGTTGAACTATGTAAAATAAAAGTGTGTTTTATTTGACATAGCTCAACATTGTAGTTGGTTATATTTAATTTTAGTTTAATTTCTCAAATTAAATATGTTATTCTTTTTCATAATTAATATTCATTTTGTGTGGTCATTTCTTCGCCTGTGCGTTAAATCCACTGAGGAAAAGTCGAGCTGAGATTGAAAACGTATGCAAGACTTGATAAAAAAAAATCATACATGATTTATGGGTCAACGAATAGTTATGGCAAGGTTATGTTATGTTCCACTTTTCATACAAAATGCTATTAAATACTGTCAAAATGCCATGTATTTGCTGTGTGGTCAGGTGTTTTACACATAAAATGCAACTTCACTCATACGTTATCAAGCCATATCTCAAAGATGCAATTATGATAACATTGTTTTTGTGACATTTGTGCGTTTTCTAGGTTAGGTTTTCTATAATATAAATTATAGGTTAATATAAACGCCTGACTGCACAGCAACCACATAGGAGATTTTGTCAGTTTTTAGTGCCACTTTATATAAAAAACGCTACGTAACATTGGTCTATTTTACGGCAGAATCGGCCCCTTAGTTTTTTTTGTGAAACTGAATAGGGATCCACTATGTCGTAACCGGTTAAGAACGTAGGCTAGTACAAGCTAGTCCCGAGTTCGATACCAACCTCGGCCATGCTCGATATCATGCCGCATGATATCCAATTTTCACTTTACATTATAGATCGCAAATACAACATCGAGTGAAAATTGCTCTTCGTGGGCATACTCATAACCAACATGAAGCTGTAATATGTTACAATGTTATTAATATTGGTTACATAGATAATAAATTTACATGTTCGATAGCAGGTATTGTGGGTTTTATACATTAGCTAGGTCGTGCTTGGTCGTACTACAACATTGTTAACATTTTAGTTACATAGATTATAATGAATTAATTCGAATTTATGTTGCGATCGAATCCTCTATAAGCACTTGTTTATATTTGAATTTGTATATAACAATTCAATGCTGCATGAATGTCGATCATGTAATCTCAACGGCTGTGATTATTATTGCATTATTAATAAAATTCCCGTAGTGTAAGTTATAGTAATTGCAAAAAAATCGAAAATGAAAATTTTGATATATCTTTACGCTTGAGAGGTTTCTGAACATTTTGGCATACTTTGGAAAAATGGATGTATGTATGTGCGGATATGAAATTTTCGTCGACAATTTCGGGAACACAGTTAAATCGATTTGATTCATTCAATTTCTATCGATAAGGAGGCGTGCTGATTAGTTTTTGGACAATACAGGTCTATCCGTTTCGGATATACGGGGAAAAAATAGCCAAAAACGGTAACTTTGTTTTAAAGAGAACGAAGCGTCCGTTTTTCATAATTCAATAAAACATTTTACTTGTATTGACAAAATGAACACTGACTAAATTTTTGGGAAGGCAGGTCTAGCGATTTCGGAGATCGAGTAAAAAAGTGAAAAAAATGCCATTTGGCGCGTTAAAAATGATCATTAGACATAGCACATCAAATTATTAGATATTTATAGAGATTTTAATGTTAAGTATGAATTTTGTTTACATTTCTATGGGTTCCGTAAGATTGTTAGTTTTTAAAGTTTACTTATACGGTTCAAGCAAACTTAAAGTTTCAGAAAAAATATTTTCAAAATTTTTAAAAATATACAAAATTTTATACTTCAAATATGAATTTTAAATTTACAATTTAGTTTGAAAATCTACATATTTCAAATGCGTTATTCTAATCGTAAGAAATATATCCTCAGACGGATTTATTCGGCACCTCTTGCTAATGTAAACTTTCTCAAGTGCTTTGAGCGATAAGATCGTCACTGTATATTTTGTGAACGACAAAATATATAGTGATTGATTTTAATTATCTATTTGAAAATGTTTAAAACAATTGTAATCATTGATCAATATTTATTGATTACAGATTTTTTTTCGAATGTTCAATCTTAGTACGGAAAGTACCAGCAATTTGCTTTAAGGCACGATGCTAGTTTATGAATCTAATTTCTGGTTATAGTTTTGTTACCAGTTTCTGGTAACTATACATAACTGTAGTTTGTTTGCAGGCCAATTATAGTTCATAATTGTACAGCTTTAATTAGAATATCTCTATTTCTCTGTAGAAGTTCGAGTTTGTTCTGAAAACGAGTTCAGATGCAATAACAGCCGGTGCATACCGCAGCGATGGCATTGCGACAACGAGAAGGATTGTTCCGATGGAAGCGACGAGGACCCGCTCAAATGCCGTGAGTTTCATAACTTTTTATTTGAATTTCATTTATAGAAACTTTAGTAAATTTATATCAAAGTAATATTACAACATGCTTACCGAATGCTGCATTCAAATACAATATCTGGGCACGTACATTTATTATCTGACTTTGTCACAGGTATCTGATACTTCATATGCGAAGCTTTCGGTTCAAAAATCATATTAAAATTTAACGCATGGTTATATGTAAACCGAGCGCTCTATAAACAGATCACGTTATTCATTTTGGGAAATATCATTAACTAACAGTTATATTAACCCTTTCGCTATCAATGTCGTCCATGGACGACATGAGGTGTTTGCCTTTAGTTCAAGACTTATCACTATGAATTAAAGTTTAAAAAATGCTTTTTAAACTTTTGTCATTTGCGACCCTATTTATGATCGCAAGTTTTTTGTCAGAAATTAATATTTTTAGATGATTTTTTTAGGTCTAGAATTTACAAAAATCTAGACGTGATGCTATTGAATGATATATATATATATATATATATATATATATATATATCGCGACCCATAGTTTAAGAAGCCATGAATTAAACTATTGAGAATTCTAGACTCTTATTGTAATCTCTAGTTCATTAGAAGCGTAATTTTGAATTTTTAACACATTTTTATTGATCATGATACAAATATATATCGTTGTGCCTGTCTGTTCAGTAGTGCACCTAAGCGGCACGTTGTCCCGTACAGCAGAGACACTCCCGTAGCGAAAGGGTTAAGGTTTAATGTCTGTTGTTGCATGGATTTTCGGAAAAAACGATCGTTATTTTTGAATCTATAAAAAAATATTTACTTCAAGTCTCAACAGTTCAACGAAGTTTTTTTTTTAATAATTCCATAGGCTGGTACACTACTTTAATTATGTACTTATCAACTTAATTATTAATATTCGAAAATAATTATATCAAAAATAAATATATTGCAAATTCTTTATTCAGTTTTCTTAATTCAAAATATTATCTTATCCAAACTAAATATTAAATTTAACAAGCATATTTTTAAAATGCCAAGTAATCTGATTTTGCTTTAAAAAAATTCATCTCTTAAAATAAAATCAGTTGGTTATTAATAAATAAAACCAAAATTTGGTATTTAATTTCCGAAGATTCATGCAACACTTTATATAAACGCATTTTTATATCATGTCAAGAAAATGCTGAAAAATGTATTTTGAACAACCAGTGTTTTCGATGAAAATTTTATACTTGTTTCATGAACACAAACATTTCTTTCAAAATCACAAAATTTTGTTTCAAGATAAGTTGTGCATAATTGATTTTTTTTTTTCAGAAATAATCCAATTATTTTGGCTATACTTATTTAACTATGAATGTTCATCAACGCATGAATGCTATATATGCAATGATAAATACTATATAATAATTAGCTATTTATATCATTTGATAGAGGTGCGGTTATTACTAATTATTCTAATTAAAATATTACAGGTATAGATAAAGTGCACTTTACGAAAAATTTACAATCGTAATAGAGGAAATGTTAATGTAAGCTTTTAATAATTGGTTTGTATCATGTACTCTAAAAAATTATATATTTATATAAACTGAACGTTGATATAATCGAAACGAATTATAGATTAAAAAGCAATTTTCGACAAGATACGAGTGATTAAAATTAAAATTAAATGGTATAATATTCAATTTTCAATGCTATTATTTCTACAAAATATCCAATAGATGGGATTGTATAATAAACAGTAAAAATTTATCATCATTGGCATAATTAACTTTCATGATGTGCAACTGTAGACAATTCGAATTACATTTGGTTTAATGATGTTAAAATTTTCAAACAAAACAAACAAATAGTTTCATGTAATTTATATTGATGAATTATTCTCAAAAATGCTTACGGGTGCTTACTAATTGCCACTAAATTGAGTTTAAATAATTTAAATCGCTTCATTCATTTTCATTTATGCATGAATCGAAAACGCATAATTGACATAAAACATCATTCCTGGATGATTAATTCTTTTAACCTTTAGACAAATTAAAACAGTAAAAATAAATAAAATAACTTTATCAATTTTTTTAGAAACAAATCTATGATGATCTACACATGATTTGAATAATTTAAATCATCTCGATCGTTACTATATATTATTGCTGATAAGAATTTTTTTTTGAACGCACATCCATAACCTTGGAAAATTATATAGTTTACTAGGTCAGGAAAAAATCTATTAACCTGATAAAACATATTTGACATGCGTCTGTTTTGAATTTTATCACATTTTTTTTTATTAAAGTTCAACTAGACTTATTTTTTTACAAAACGATCAACATATGTCTGTCGAACGATATCAGCTTCTGTCTGAGAACAGTTTATTTATATACAATTTAGTCTTGAAAAAACAAATTGTCGACCGTCGATAAAAAGAACTGAAGATTTCCGAAGTACAAAAAATGTTAAGAAGAGCTATGCGTGGAATTATACTTGACATTGGCAAATTGCAGAAACTTTCCAGAACATGAAACCAAATTAGAAAAAAATGCATAAATCATATTGTTCAGATTTTCGAATCTTATGGTTAGTTCGTATTTCATTCATTCCCGAACATTTGAAAGCCAATTTCACTACAATGGGTTAAAGCATTAAATCAGATATTGTTGATATTTTTTAAGAAGACACCTGTTTCTTTGTCATTATAGAACTAAATGGGTCATTATTTTACAAATCGCACGGATTTTCGGAAAAATAAAATGTCATATTTTAGAATTGTTTGATTTTTTTTCAGATATAATACATAAAATCATTTGACACGTATTTCAGGATTTTGCTATAAAAAATTGCTCAATTTTTATGAAAATCTTCTGCGGTAAATTAATTATCTCCAGTTGTGCTGATTAGATCAGTATTGTAATTTTTTTTAATTACACTCATATTGAATTGATCTTTGGAATGATTTAAAAAAAAATTGTTTTTGCAATCTTGGTATCTTTGTACATCAAAGATGTTAAATATTTTCTAGCGCGAGTCGAACTTCCACGTCGGGGACCTCAAAGATTTCACTTTCGAAATAACAATCTTACTGTTTTTCGGTTGAAAAATATTTTATAATTTCGTTTCTGGCGAAAAATAAATATATAGTCGAAAAACATATTAGGGTAGAGCTCAAAAGCGTGGCTCAAAAGTTCGCGGGTAAAAAGATCCACTGCCAATATCTCAAAACCAAGTAAAGTTAGATTTTTAACAACAATATTTGAAAGTAGACGGATTGTTCAGTTAGATTCAACCTTTTTTTCTAATCATACAAACATGTTTTTCTAAAATTTGTCATTTTCCCTCTTTACCCAATAAAAAAATAACACTGATCCGATCAGCGCAACTGGAGATAATTAATTTACCGCAGAGGATGTTCATAGAAATTGAGCAAAAAATCCATATTTCATCGTAAATATTTACGTAAAAATTTTTTTCAATAAAATCCTTAAACACGTGTCAAATCATTTTATGTACACTATATGTAAAAAAAAGTTTAGATAATTCTAAAATGTCAAGGTCTGGATGGTGTACGGTTTGTAAAAGAATGACTTATATATAAGTATCAGACAGAGCTTATAAAAGCTTTAATCTTGGAACCAAAGGTTCCACGTACTATTTTCCTCTAGCACAGGTTGATATGAAGCTGTAGTGTTTTCACTTGAAAACAGATATTATCCTTCTACTAATGCTGCGTTATAAGGAATTGCCTTGCAGTTCATAGAACACTAAGAATACTAAAATTGCTTTTTGAAAATTAAAAAAAAAGTTTCAGACAACTTCAAATAGCTTTTGTCTGGTCATTTTCGAAGACCATCGGGCATTGGATCGTTACAAATAATTATTGCTGAGATGGTCAGGTTGTGTGCTAAAATAATTAAAACAAAATCACATATGTACATACACTTCTGGAGTATACCAGTATGATCTGAAAACGACTTGCTAAAATTTTCTGATACCTCGTGTATTTCAAAATCTATCAAGAAGTTAATAAATGCATTATGCAATCACCAGAGTATCATGTTTATAAAATAAAAAGAAGCGAGAAATGGATAAAATTTTGCGCGGATAGATTATTGAAACAGGATGCGACAATTTTTGAAATAAGTAAAAAACGATGCATCGATTACTTTAATGTACTTGTTCAGCCATAAAACTTACTTTTGAGCAATTGATTCTATTTCCAAAGAAAGAAGAACTAGTGTTATAGTCCGGTCATTGTAAGTCCGTAAATACCCTACAATTATCTCAAAACCTACATATGATAGGGTATACGTACCACATGTAGGTTTTGAGACAAATTTTAGGATGCTATTTTAGGGTATTTACAGATATACAGCTGGTTATCTCGAATTCCGAGATTCTTACCTAATTTAAGCTTAAATGACTGGACTATTATTGATACCAGATATTATGGTCAAAACACTCGGTGGTGAACGATATGATCTTTCTTTGTTGTTGAAGGTCATTTTCAAAGTCGCTCTATTTGAGCGTTTGGGAAAAATGTGTCAAAGATTGATTCAAATTATTCAGCATATTATATTACTACTGGTTGCATGTCCTCTTAGTGTATTGCACTGCAATGCATTTAATCTACGGCCAGATAAATAAATGAAGTTCACGAAAGGTCGCCAGACTTCAACATCGCCGCGTGTTGTCCGCGACCATCAATATTTGTTCCTATATATGGACACCATAGATGATAAATTTTAGAATCAAGGTCAGACGTTGTCCGATGTCATTGGACAAAATATTGACATATTCTATACTCATTCAGTTTTCAATTAAGAATAATTAAACTCTTTGCTTTATCTTCCTACTACAGTAGATGCTATTCTTGAGAGTTCTTTGCCTTTGCAAAGATTTTGTCGTTATGTTGTTCAGGATCACATCTATTTCAATTATAAGCTATTAATCAGAGTTTAATCAATTTAAATGTGCAAAATGAATTCGGGGTCAGATATG